ACAAGCTAAAAGTAGAATTCTGTCGTCCTATGCTACGTTTATCTGAGAATCTGATAACGACTAAGGCTGAAGAATGGATAAAGTGTATTCCTAGGTAAAAAAGTTTCTATATGTAATAAAATAACTCATAATTACGGTTGTTTCCAGCTTTCCAGTGCTGGTAATATGACATATCTCTATATAGTCATCTCAGCGTTAAATAAATAAAAAGCTACTCTTATTTTTAATTGAGGTATAACTGACATATAGCATTACATTAGTTTCCTGTGTACAGCATCATGATTCGATATTTGTACATACTGGAAAGTGATCACCACAGGAAGTCTAGTTAACATGTGTCACCACACAGAGTTACAACATTGGTGTGTGTGGGTGATGAGAACATTTAAGATCTACTCTCTTAGCAACTTTCTTTCTTTTTTTTTTTTTTTATATATTTTGTTTAGATAGAGTGGGAGAGAGAGAAACATCGACGCGAAAGGGACACATCGAGTGGTTGCCACCCGCACAACCCAACCAGGACCGGGGACAAACCGCAACCGAGGCACATGCCCCCAGCAGGAACCGAACCCAGGTCTCTCTGGACCGCAGGCCGACGCTCCAACCGCTGAGCCAAACCGGCCAGGGCTCTCTTAGCAACTTTCAAAGACGCAACCCAGTATTATCACCTATGGTCACCTCGCCGTACATGACACCCCGGGACTCATTTATTCTATAACTGGAAGGTTTGGAAGTTTGTATGTTTTGACCCCTTGACCCATTTCTCCCTCCCTCCACCCCTGCCTCTGCAACCACCAACCCGTTCTCCGGATCATAAATGAACGACTCTTACTCCTATTAGAACAATCTCTGAGAATTAAAAACAATTCTTCCTATTTTTTTTTGCCTTTATTCGTGTCTATTTTTAGATAAAACACATTGTAAAATTCAGCTCCACTTTATCTGTTTGGGGAGTACAGTTAAAATAAACAAAAACTGGAAGAAATAGAAAAAGTGACTGGGCTTGAAGTCAGAGGACTGGGTCACTCCTACGTGAGTTGGTCACACCCCTTCACCTAGAGTCAGGGCCTCACACACGAGCTGGGGGTGAGCTGACCTCTCGCGGGGCTGTGACGGAACCAAAACAAAGCTCACACATGAAGTCACCGAAGAGTCAACTGGTCCACAATAAATTTTACTTTAAAAACAAACTCAGAGAGAGGAGGTTGTCGAATTTAGCAAATTATTAATTGTTCTGTGTTTCTAAAGGTAGGTACAGACCGGAATAACCTCTTTCAGTTGCATTTGTTTTTGTTGCCTTGATTAACACTGAATTTTAATTTCTAGTAGCTCTGGCCCAGTTTGGGGTGGGGGATGGGTCTCGGGGACGTTAGGTATATAATGTGGCCTCACTGGCTTTTCGTATTTCAGCCATTGTTCTAGACATCACTCACATTCATGAAAATGCTGACCTTTTAATTTTTAATTCACAAAGAAAAAAAAATGTCAGGAAAACTTCTCTGGTTTGGTTTAGATTAGCTAAGTCATCGGTATTGGGTAGAAAAAGCTGCCGTAACATGGTAGGGACTGGATGCCAGATTCATCGTCAATCCCCGGCACATCTCACTATCACACGGTTACTCTAGCGCCATTGCATTGGAACACGCTAACGGCCGGCACAGGAGCATCTTGTTACACTCCTTCAGCTGGGCTACATGTCACACGTGTGCTATTGTGTGTTAGCGTTCGGTTCAACAGAACTTCTAGAAAGTTATGTGCTATTTCTTAGCACATAAAATCAAAACAGAACATGCAGTTACTGTTCTGATATCAATCTGGATACAAGAGTCATCATCAGAACTTGAGCAGAAAGGTTGAAATCGACTGCAAAAGGCCAGGTGTCCCGCCTTGGGGAGAAGGTAACATGGGCCCGGCTGCTTGGCTGCGTGGCCGCTGGGCTTACAGTGCACTTAGCTGGAGGGGACTTGTGAACGGTCACTGGGTTCTCATCGGAGTTCCTATCAATTTAGACTCGATGTCTCACGAATTCATGGTTCGTTGAGCTGTGAACTTTCTGGGCCCCCGGAGCAGATGCGCACCGTCAGGTAGAATAACCCGAGAAGTCCCAGCGCCGACCGAGAGCAGCCGCTGCTTCCGACTCCAGGTTCTGGGCGCCCGAGCGACCTCAGAGCTGGAAACGCAGCCGCAGAGCGTGTGGTCATGATGACACAATGCACGCAGGGGGAGGGCACCCCACTGCAGTGTCGTGAGCGGGAGGGATCCGGGGGTCCATGCCAGGTGTGTCTGCACAGCGCACACACCGTCAGCTTCTGCGAGGGTCAAGGCTGTGAGATCCCTTCCTCCTGAGCTCGCTCACGACCTCCATCAGGGCCGTCATCTCTCAGTAATGTGTCTCTACACTGTGTTTCCTCCACTGACACGGGTTTCAGGTCGTCAGTCCCAACGTGCCTCCCCTTCCCGCAGACGGAGACAGCTTCGGGTTTCATGGAGGCAGACCAGCTCAGGGCTCCGTGCTCCTGGGCCGAGGGCTCCTCCGGCAGATACGAGGCCGAGGGGCTGAGTGTTGCAAAAGAGATTGTAAAGCGAAGGCAGACGGATGGAACAGGCGGACTCCGGGAACACGAAACAGACCGTCAGGAACGCCTCACGTACAGATTCTAGAAGCAGCAGAACGGACATAGGAAAGGAAGGAAGATACGTAGCGGAAAGGGTGACCGATGAAGCCTTCCTTGTTTCCCCTCGGATTCCACGGGACCACGTCCTGCGTGGTGGGCCTGCTGCGTGTGGGGAGAGGGGCGCAGGGCTCTGCGGGGCGGCAGGGAGGGGGCCCCCTTCCCGCCGGCAGCGTTGGGACAGCCAGGCCTCCCCACCTGGGACACGGAGGTCTCCCCACCGTGCTGCTGGCCCGGCCTGAAGAAGAAACCCGGCTTCTGCTCACAAGGGGGGTGGTTCGAGGCAGGGGTGCGGGGTGGAGGCTGCGGGACGCCTTTGGAGGAGTCCACGAAGCAGCTGCCACCCTTCCGGTCTGTTGGGAGGGACTGGCGACACAATTGTTACTATCACAGAAAAAAAGGTGGCTCATGTGTTTGCTTGACAAATTCGTACTGGAGGTGGTTTGAGGCGTCTGGGTGGCAGGCAGGTGAGGATGAACTGGGCATGGACTCCTTTGTCTTCTGCGACTTTTACTTGGGCGTGCAGTCCTCGTAAGGAGGCTGCCACTCTCAACGAAACAACCACCTGCTGCCCTCCTCCTGGCTAAGTGACTCCCCAGTGTTAGAAACGGGCTAGACACCCCCTTTCTCTACCGTCTCACCGGGGCTTTGGAAGCGTGGAGTCCGAGCTGTGTGGAGAACTAGAGGTGATGTTCTGTCTTCATTCTGTGAGTGAGTGGACTGTGAGCCAGAGATGCGGCTTGCTGAGGCATATGTCACTACCACATTGTCCCATAGGCTGCTGGCTCCCAGGGGGGAGTTGTGGGGGAGGATGAGGAGGGAAACAGGGCTCAAATATACAGTGATGGCAGGAGACTTGACTTTGGGTGGTGAGCATGCAATGTAGTACACAGATGACCTATTATAGAATTGTACACCTGAAACTTATATGTTATTAACCAATGTCACCCTGATAAATTTAAGAAAAAATACTTAAAAAGAAGTGATATTGTCCTAATTATAAGAAAAAGCCTATCATTAATTGAATTCACTATCTTCTGTTGGCAGAAAATAAATGAATCTAAAATCAGAACTTGACTTCTTAACAGAGAAATCACTTAGTTCTTACTGGCCGTTGGCTCACTGAACAGTCATATTTTATTTTAAAAAATGGATCCAAGACCTTTACCTTAACATTCTCCAGATCTGTAATTTCATATTACTGATCCTAAAAACTTAGGTATTATAATAAGCATTGTCCCCTCAAAATATGAGTCTTATAAGAAATGATTCCAGAGACAACCACAAATACCCATGACGGAGGCAAACTGTCACATCAGGTTCTTATCACCACTGACACTGAGCAGCATACTAGGACCTCTTACAAGCTGGGGGCAAAAACGTTTGTGGTTAACAATCATTTATTAACTTCTCTGTAAGACTGAAATAAATTGTCATTCTTTATTAGAGACATCGATGTAATTAATATGAAATACCTGCTGTGATGAAATGTGTGTCCTTATATAACGCTGACAAATAAGAAAACATGTTAGTCAAGGATGGAAGCTCGGATGTTTCATTATAGGAAAATTATTCTGCATAAAAATTCAAAAGTACCTGCAACTGCATTACTCTTGACTTTCGCCACCCTGTGTTCTAACAGACCACATGTCTGCCTGTGTGGGCTCTAGACTATGACAGATTGGTTTCTCATTAGCCATCACACCGATAAGGGTTGTCTTACAGCACTATTGGACATGATACAAGTCCCCCAATTTAAGGTACAATACACAAACATGCACTTAGGGAGAAGAGACACAGGTATTTTCTATAAATTGCAGATGGATTTTTCTGTTATTGGAACTTCTAAATATTATATTGAAACCCCAAAGCACTTGGGGGGGGGGGGAATCGTAACTCAATGGACAGTTTGATGCCTCTACAATAAAACTAGCGTGGCTCAGGTGACTGGGCCTCCTCCCAGGCAAGAGGTTGTCGGGATTTCCGGTCAGGGGATTTCCGGTCGGGCACAGACGGCTTGGACGATGGGTCCCCAGTACGGGACGTGCGGGAGGCAGCCCAGGCATGTTTTTCTCCTGTGGATGCTTCTCTCTCTCTCTCTCATTTATAAAAAATAAAACTAGTTGTGTTCCATGGGATTTGCGAACTCGAAACTGAAATCTCACACGGAATGCTCTTGATTTAGGAAACATGGCTAAGAATTAAGATCGTGACCGTCGGAGGGAATGTCACTGTGTGTAACAAACGCTTCAATTCCTGGCCGAAGAAGAGGCCCACCCGCGCGCCCCTGGCCTAACACGGGACACCGAACGCGGGCGAGTCACGTACCCAGGCGCTCACGCAGCGGCCGCAGGTGGTGATCTTGAAGTCCCCGTACAGGTCCTTGATGGCGCCGGTGGTGAAGAAGCCCTCCACCATCAACAGGATGCCATACACGAAGAAGGCGGCCGCGATGCCGTAGATCACGTACTTGAAGATGTCGATCCTGGGGGAGGACACAGTGACCTGTCAGTAACTGCGCACGGCTGCATGCACCAGGGATGCGCAGAACGCCCAGCTCGGCGGGATGAGAGCCACGGCGTGTCTGCCTTCACGGGGGACGGGGGCACTGTCCCTCTACACGCCTACTGTCCCCATCCATACCTTGTTCCAGTGCCTGTTGACAAGGGCTTCCCTCCCCTGCCCTGTGCCTGTGGACACCCAGCTAGTCTCGGGGAAGGGGGGAATCACCTCTCTAAAGGGGGTCGCCTAACTTCACTCGATCAGTAAGATCATCAGCACGCGGTTTCTCTAATGAGGACACAGTATCAACTCTAAAGATGTATGTGTCCATCCCTGAGTTCTAAAAACTTGCATTAAAAGAGGAAGGAAGCTTCGCGGTTCATCGTGCATTCCTTGTGGAGAAAATGACAACCTGCTATTTTTGTGCTTGTCAAAAGCCAGTTGTAATTGTATCTTGCGTCACCCTTGCTGTCAACTATCACCAATATTTTCTGCCGATCGTATCGCTACTAACAATGACAGCTTCACGGGTAATTGTAACTCCGCGAAGTCAGCCTTTTCAGCAGAATCACTGACAGTACACGGAACCGGGCCTGAGCCAAGGGCCAGCACGAGCCCATGGAAGAACAGGTGGGGGTCCCTTCTTTTCCCACAACTCAGTGCCCATGTGCGTAGGGGACACACACAGGCATTGTCTACAAACGGCAGAGGGTTTTCCTGTATCTAAATGCCGCACGGGGGTCCCAGCGCCCTTTCGGAAGAAGCCATCACAGAGCCATCTCTTTGCGGCCTCGAAAGGCAGGACAGCCGTGTGGCCGTGGTTGGTGGAGAGGCACACGGGTCAGCACGGCTCTGTTCCTGCTCTGGATGACGGGCAAGGGGAGGGTCTTCACGTCGCATGTCCAGCTTGAAGAGCGCTGGCCCCTCATCGGAGCGGGAGGTGGGAGGCAGCAAGACTAGGGAGCCCGTGCACTGTACACACGGGCGGAAGGAGGGACGAGAAGGCGCGCTCGGGCGGCTGGACACCTGCACGCTCTGCACGCTCCGACAATATTTGTTAAGAGCGGCACGCGTGAATCTGTGGCATGTACAGAGACCCAGAAGAGACGAGCTCGCTAACACTCAGGGTCCCGCGGCCGCTGTGCAGTGACTGCTCTCCGCGGTCGGAAGCCCCCAGACACCGCAGAAATGTACCTGCCCCGGCGCAGGCAGGCCAGGTGCACAGGCCAGGTGCACAGGCGAGGTGCACAGGCCAGGTGCACAGGCGAGGTGCACAGGCGAGGTGCACAGGCCAGGTGCACAGGCGAGGTGCACAGGTGAGGTGCACAGGCCAGGTGCACAGGCCAGGTGCACAGGCGAGGTGCACAGGCCAGGTGCACAGGCGAGGTGCACAGGCGAGGTGCACAGGCCAGGTGCACAGGCCAGGTGCACAGGCCAGGTGCACTGCGCAAGCTCCTCAGCGGGGCAAGCACCTGAGGAGCTCACCTCGCACAGCTAGAGTGACATCATAAACACTTTGAAGGGCTTGGTGTAATGGGGCTCTCCATAAAATTTCTGGGTTAAGATGACATATTTTAAATTTTATTTGGAAGTCATTTCAAATCTATGAAAAAGTTGCAGAAAAATGAATAGTATAAAGAAAAACTATACAGACATTCTTTATCTGATTTATAACATTTTACCCCACTTCACTGTATTCTTGTCTCTCTCTCTCTGGAAAATTACATATGAACATAGAGAAATTCTCCACAGCACAGTTAACTATTTCAGGGAATATAATATTAATATGACCACACACATGCAATCAGACACAAACAATATGACCCGTGCACAACCACACACACACACAACCACACAGACGCCCCCACACACTCTTTTACTGGTTGTCTTTATTTCGATCTATAACTCGTGTTGGTGACACTGCTACATTTCTTAATAAATTCTTGAGAAATGAGTAGACGAATGTTTATGTATATATAAATGTCACCACCCTGATCCCAGACTCTTACTCAGTGAGGTATCCCACTAAAGTCAGGAACAAGGAAATGAAGGACACTCTCTGTTTCTACATAACACTGTTCTGGGTGTATTTGCCAATTCAATTAGGGGAAAGATTAGGGGAAAGAACCAGCAATATAAGAATTGGAAAAGGAGAACAAAACAAAACTACCTCTATTTGCAGATGATATATGGTGTACCTGGAAAATTTTAGAGAATCAGTGATAAAACTAATTCAAATAATAAGAGAATTCTGCAATGTAGTATGCTATACAATCTACATGCAAAAATCAATAGCATTTGTATAGACGAATAATACCCAGTTAGAAGATATGTTGGGCGAGAACAATTTGATTTCCCCCTGGAAGTGGGATCGCTGGGTCACATGACACCTCTATGTTGAATGTTTTGGTGAACCTCCAGCTGTCTCTATACCAGCTGCAACACCTTGCATTCCCAGCAACGGAGAACAGACATTCCATTTTCTCCACGTGGTTGCCAACACTCGTTATTTTTTTGGGTGGTGGTGTTTAACTTTTGTATCCTAACTGCTGTGAGGTGATATCTCCCTGTGGTTTGGATTTATATTTTCTTGATGATTAACGATGTTGAGCAGCTTTTCATTCACCTGTTTGCCTCTTTAATATCTTCTTTGCAGAAATGTCGACTTAAGTCCTTTGCCCATTTGAAAGTCAGGTTATTTGTCTGCAGTTGTTTTTGTTTGTTTGTTTGTTTGTTTTTTTAGTTTTTGCTATGGAGTGAGAGGAGTGTCATATATGTTTTGGATATTAATCCCTTGTTGGTACATGGTTTGCAAATATTTTCTCCCATTGTGTGGGTTGCCTTCTCACTCTGTTGTTTTCTTTGCTGCACAGAAAGTTCCAAGTTTGATGTGGTTCCACGTGTCTGTTCTCAATTTTGCTGTTTGATGCCATACCCAAGAAACCAACACCAACGCCAATATCAGAAAGTTCTTCCCTTCTGTTCCCTTCTAAGCATTTTACGGTTTCAGGTCTTACGTCTGGTTCTGCAATCCACTTTGAGCTGATTTTTAGGAATGGTGGGAGATGAAGGTCCAGTTTCATTCTTCAGCAAGTGAATATCCAGTTTCCTCAAAATCTTTTGCTAAAGATACCCTCCTTTCCCCTTGCTGGAGTTTGACACCTGTTGAAAATAATTTCATTGTATATGCGAGGGTTTACTTCTGGACTATTTTGTTCTGTTAGTCTGTCTGTCTTTATGTCACTACTACATTGCTGTGATCCCTGTAGCTTTGTAATGTGTTATAAAATCAGGAAATGTAAGGTCTCCAGCATTATTCATCTTTTTCAAGATTATTTTGGTTATCTGGGCACCGTATACATTTTGGCTATATGTGGTCCCATATAAATTGTAGGATTGTTCTTCCCATTTCCATTGGGATTTTGATAGGGATGACATTTAGTAAGCAAATTGCTTTGGGTCGTATATAAATTTTAACAATATAATTTCTCCCAATCCATGAACATGGGATGCCATTCCATTGATTCATTGCTTCTCCAATTTACTCCAGCAATGTTTTATAGCTTTCTGCACACACATCCTTTGCCTTCCTGTCTAAGTTTATTCTTCCACATTTTATTCATTTTGATTTTTATTGTAAACACGATGGTACTTATGTGAATTCAGACTTCTTAAATTTGTTAGGACTTGTTTTGTTACTTAACATGTGATCCATCTTGATGTTCCAGGTGCATTTGACAAGAATGTGTTTTCTGCTGCTATTGGGTGGAATGTTCTAATATGTCTGTTAGGCTCACGTGCAATATAGTGTTCTTCAAGTTCTCTGATTCCTAATTAATCTTCTGTCTGGATCTTCCATCAGAATATCTGTCATTTCCATTATAGAAAGTGGCTACTGAAATCCCCTGCTAGTATTGCGATACTGTCTATTTCTCCCTTTGGGTCTGTAAAGGTTTGTTTCATATATTTGGGTGCAGTGAAGTTGGGTCCATATATGTTTCTAATTGTTATATTCCTGCTGAATTGACCTATTTATTATCATCTAAAGTTCTTCATTGTTGCTTTTGACAGTTTTTGACTTAACGTCTATTTTGTTTAATGTAAGTATGGCCACCCATGCTCTTTTTTGGTTATCATTTGCATAGAATCTTTTGTTCATTCTTTAACTATGTGTGCCTTTAACTCTATAGACATTCTCTTATAGACCACATGTGGTGAATCTAGTTTTTATATCCTTTTAGTCACTTTATATCTTTTAATTGGGGAATTTAATCCACTTACCTTTAATGTTATCACTGATAGAAAAGGACTTGCTATTGCTATTTAATTCATTGTTTTCTATTTGTCTTGTAGCTTTTTGTCTCTCTTTTTGTTCTTTTCTATTTCATTGATTTTTTTGTAGTGACATGCTTTATTTCCTTTCTCAATTTATTTATCTTCTATAGGTATTTGCTTTGTGGTTACCACGGGGCTTGCATAGAACATCTTATATTTAACGATCAATTTGAGCTGATAACTTCAATCATATACAAATACTCTAATCTTTTACTTCTCTCAATCACACCCTTTATGTTATCAGTGTTACAAATTGCATCTTTTTATATGATGTATCCATTTACATATATTTATAGTTACAGTATTTTTATGCTTTTGTCTTTTAACTTCTATGCCAGAATTAAAAGTGATTTATGCACCATTACAGTATGACAGTATTTGTTTATATATTTACCTTTACTAGTGAGTTTAAACTTTCATAGGCTTTTGTGTTCATTTCTAAGGTGCTTTCATTCCAACTTGAAGCATTCCCTTTAGCATTTCTTGTATGGCATTCCTAGTGGTGATAAACTTCCTCGGCTACTTTTTAATCTGGGGAATTATTGGTCTACATGTGAAGGGTAATTTTTGCAGATACAGTATTCGGTTGGCAGTTTATTTCTCTCAGCAATTTAAATATATCATCTTACTCCCTCTGGCTTGCAAGGT